AGAGCTCCTTTACTATTTATAAGACACATTTTTTTGGTGGTCTTTCTCATGAGGATATCTTTTAGATGTCAAGTTAAGTACATGAGCATTTACATGTTTATTTAAATTGTTTAAGGGAACCCAAGAAGAAAATTTAAAGACCACAAGAATGTAAGAGTCTCAGCTGACAGTACTGAAAAGTATTGTTTTTGCTCTATACTGTCAAAATTTTTTAATGAACCTACTAATATTTTTAAAAAGAAAAATATAGATTTTTAACATTTCAGATTTATTCTTATATTCCAGAAGCATCAAACTATGAGGGTGATTTCTGCTTTAGCCAAATGTGAATTTTAGACTTAGTGCTTTGGCATTTGGCCAAAATACAGATTTGGTGCTTATACAAAAGACATAATCGTGCACATTGTTGTTGTTGTTGTTAGATGCCATCGAGTTGGCTCTGACCCCACGCAGAACAGAATAAAACACTGCCCTGTCCTGCACAATCCTCACAATCCTTGCTACGCTTGAGCCCATTATCACAGCAACTGTGTCAACCCATCTCCTTGAGGGTCTTCGCCTTTTTCACTGGCCCTTTACCAACTACGATACCCTTCTCCAAGGACTGGTCCCTTCTGCCATGACAAAGTACAAGACAAAGTCTGGCCATTCTCACTTTCAAGGAGCATTCTGGCTGCACTTCTTCCGAGACAGATTTCATCCTTCTGTCAGCCCATGGTAATTTCAATATTCTTCACCAACACAATTCATATGTATCAATTTTTCTTTGGTCTTCCTTATTCATTGTCCAGCTTTCACATGCTTATGAAGCAATTGAAAATACCATGTCTTGGGTTAGGCACACCTTAGTCTTTAAAGAGACATCTTTGCTTTTCAGCACTTTAAAGAGGTCTTTTGCAGCAGATTTGGTCAGTGCAATAATACGACATCTGATTTCATGACTATTGCTTTCATGAGAGTTGATTGTGGATCCAAGTAAAATGAAATCCCTGAGAACTTCAATCTTTTCTCCATTTATTGTGATGTTGCTTACTTGTCCAGTTGTGAAGATTTTTTTTTTGAGCTGTAATCCATACTGAAGGCTATTTGTATATTCTTTGATCTTCATCAGAAAGTACTTCAAGTCCTCTTTACTTTCAGCAGGTAAAGGTTGTGTCATCTGTATATCTCAAGTTGTTAAAGAGTTTTCTCAAATTGATTCCCCGTTTTTCTTAATATAGTCCAGCTTCTTGGATTATTTGCTCAGTATACAGATCAAATAACCATGGTGAAAGGACAGATACAACCCAGATGCACCAGTTTCCTGATTTTAAACCAGGCAATATCCCTTTGTTCTGTTGGGACAATTGCTTCTTGGTGTGTGTACACATTCCTCATGAGCAAAATTAAATGTTCTGGAATTTCTGTTCTTCGCAATGTAACCCATAATTTGTTATGATCCACGCAGTCAAGTGCTTTTGCATAGTCAATAAGACATAGGTAAACATCTTTCTGGTATTCCTTGCTTTCACTCAAGATCCATCTGGCATCAGCAATGATATCCCTCATTCCACACACTTTTCTGAATCCAACTTGAACTTCTGGCAGTTCTCTGTCAATGTACTGCTGCAGCCATCTTTGAATTATCTTCATTAAAATTTTACTTGCATGTAAAATTAATGATATTATTAGATGATTTCCACCTTCTGTGTGATCATCCTTCTTTGGAATGGGCATAAATATCAATCTCTTCCAGTCAGTTGGCCAGAGAGTTGTTTTTTCAAATTTCTTGGCATAGATGAATGAATACCTCCAGTGCTGCATCTCTTTGTTATCTCAATTGGTATTCCATCAATTCCTGGAGCCTTGTTTTTCACCAATACCTTCAGTGCACTTTGAACTTCTTCCTTCGATACCATCGGTTCTTAATCATATACCACCTCCTGAAATGGTTGTACATCAACAAATTCTTTTTGGTACAGTGACTGTGTACTACTTCCATTTTCTTTTCTTTTCTTTTTTTAATTTTTATTGTGACTTGGGTGCTTCCAATTTTTCTTTTGATGCTTCCTGAATCCTTCAATATTTTGCCCATAGAATCCTTTAATATTGCAACTCAAATCTTAATTTTTTTCTTCAGTTCTTTCAGCTTGAGAAATGCCGAGCATGTCTTTTCCTTCTGGTTTTCTAATTCTAGGTCTTTGCAAATTTATTGTAGTACTTTACTTTGTCTTCTTAAGCCATCCTTTGAAATTTTTTCTTCAGCTCTTTTATTTCATCATTTCTTCTATTCATTTTAGCTACCCTCTGTTCAAGAGCAAGTTTCAGAGTCTCCTCTGACATGCATTTTGGTCTTTTCTTCCTTTGCTGTCTTTTTAATGACCTTTTGCTTTCTTCATGGATGATGTTCTTATTGTTAGTCAATTTATCCCATATTAGCTAGTGGAGAAATGGGGGTATTTACTACAGCGTAGACCCAGAGTATTGGATGGGGAGAACTGAGAACATAGGGGGAAGTGGAGAGAGTATATAGATTCTTGTGAAAGGAGTCAAATAAATAAATAATAGATAGCAACTGTCAATGCTGTTTATGTACAACCAAACACCTCACAGGATTTTTCTTCTTTTGGAGAGTTAGGGTCCTGGCTTCATGGGACATCTAAGTTAATCGGTCTAATACTGCTTTTCAGTGGTTCTATTTTATCTCCCAGTCTGTTGTATAATGCTTGGAGTCTTAAGAAGTTGCAAATGACCATCTAAGCTGCAACAATAGGTCTCTATTCACCTGGATTAGCAGAGAAAGGAGGTTCAATTCCCAACCCGAATTGAAGGAGAAAATTGAATGAGTGTCTGGTTGCCTCCACGAACAGCAGCCTCCTGTGCCATGAGACCAGAAGAATTGGATGGTGCCTGGCTACCATTAATGAATATTTTGACCTAAGATTTATAGAAGAATCCTTATCAAAAGGGAGAAAAAAGCAGAACTGAATTTTATGTTCTCAGTGGAATCTTGACCTTCTAAGAGCCACTGAGTCTGGATGAACCCCTAAAACTATTGCTCTGTGATAACCTTTAAACATTAAGCATTAAACCAAAGCTATCCCCTGAAGTCTACCTTGAACCAAATGGTACTTTAGCTTAATTTATACATATGCTCACCCTAAACATGTTGTTATTGTTGTTATGTGCTGTCGAGCTGAGGCAGTATCACTACGGAAGTAGATTGACCAACCTTCCTTCCGAGGAGTACCTGGTGGGTTTGAACCACCAGCCTTCTGGTTAACAGTCAAGTGTCTTAGGCACTATGCTACCAGAGCTCCCCCGCTAAACATAAACATAGTGCTCTTTTAAAGAACTATCTATATGGGATCAAATTGACAACAGCATCTCTAAAGATTAGATGACAAGTTTTGGTGGCAGTGAGTTTATGTGAATAATGGCAGAATAATTTGAAAAAGGATAGGGAGAAAGGTCACACAACTTGAAGAATGTAAATGTCACTAAACTATACATGTAAAATTTATTAAAATGGCGTGTCTTTTTCTGTGTATATTTTCACCAAAAAAAAAAAGAATAAAAGAAACAGAAAAGTTTACTTTAATCAGCAAGCATTTGTCAACTATCATAGGTGACCCTGCTGGTATTTGAAATACTGGTAATATAACTTCCAGTGTCACAGCAACATGCAAGCCACCAGGATACCACAAAGTGACAAGTGGGGAAGCACAAAATTACAGTTTATCTCATTTGACTTGGCATTTTATCACTTACAGTTTATTATCCTCATTGGAATTTTAATATCTTACATATCTGTAATAATTCACTATGGTTGTCAAGTACATTATCTTCATTTCTTAGTCATTTTTTTAAGATTATTTTAAAAAATATATGCCTTATCTTGATTCACAGGTAATCCAGTAAAACAATCTCATTCACAGAAGTGCCAGTTTCTATTCATATCTTATTTTATAGTTTAAACACATTTTCTATTCAAAACATAAAAATAAATTCTAGCCTTCCAATCTGCCTTGGAAAAAAAATAAGATGATGAATCACTATTGATAAAATATTTTTATATTGATGAAGGTAAAACTAAATAAGAATGTTCATTATGTAGCATTCATCTACTTCCAAACCAAACCAAACTCACTGCTATCTAGTCAATTACAACTCATAGTGACCCCCATTGTGTTTCTGAGACTGTAAATCTTTACAGAAGTAGATCATCCCTTCTTCCTTCCACTGAGTGGCTGGTGGGTTTGAACCATTGACCTTCTGGTTAGCAGCCAAGTGCCTTATCCACTATGCCACTATGGCACTCTGTTCATCTACTTAGAGAACAAAAATAAATTACCATGGTGTTCTGGATGTGAATGATCTAAGAAACAGTAAGCATATCCTAATTGGGTTGTTATAGTCAAATGAGCTAGCATTTTCTTTTTAACAAACAGATAAAAATATGGTTGCAAACAAAAATTTAGTTTTAATATAATGGGGAAATTGCCTTTGAACTTATTTTGTTTTAAATTCTGTGATAAATTTCATAAGCTTGCTTCATTAAAGGGCCATTGAGGATGAAGCCTGGTGAGTATATGTGATGGTTCTGGGACTACCAAGGAGAGATCTGGGAATATTTCCTTTACATTCATAGCCCTTTAAAAAAAATAAATAAAGTCAAAATACTGATTGACTTCACCAAACCATATAATTTACTTTATTTTTACTTAAAAACATTTAAAATTCTGATTAATAACCCTAGCCAACCCTAGTACCCTCAAAGTACTATTCTTCAATCCTTTGGACAATTTGCTAAAGTAGATGAAAAAATTCTAATGGTCATGGAAATGATCTAGAATTGATTTTTTAATACTGGAAGTAGTTAATATGTTACAAAAATAAATGACTAGCAGTTTACTTTCACTGTCCATTAGGTAAAATAAAAACCAGTGAATCTGGAACAAGAACAGAGTTCAAGGAATAAAGGGCACAGATTCCCATTCTTCCCTATTCCTCTCCGCACCATGAGGGGAAATCAACTGCCCGGGCCAGTCTTGATTCTGCTTTTCCTGCTCCTTCCCAGATATGCTGCAGATACTGCAAAACCGTAAGCAACATTTGCAAAAAGTTGTATAGCCCGTCGTCATCTTTCCCATTGTATTATTCATTTCTTGACTTGCCTTTTTACTTACTGTCTGATTTCTTATGAAATTATCTGTCATCTAAAGGGCTTAGAATAGTCAGTAAATTGCTAATGCTCGTGTTAAACAAAACCAAAAACAGCTGCTATGGAGTCGACACTGACTCGTGGTGACTCCATGTGTGTCAGAGTAGAACTGTGCTCCACTGGGTTTTCAATGACTGATTTTCACCAAGGAGATACCCAGGTCTTTGTTCAGTGTGCTCAGATTCTAGAAAACTCAGACATAGGGCAATAATAACTGTGAAGCATTCACCAAATAAGAATATAGAATGCCTATGTGAAAGAAGATAAATTCTCTATTGGCTCATAAAACGGGCTGCAGCGTCATTGGCCATTATAAAGTGACTTAATGCCTGTGTTTTCCTCAAAGCAGAGATGGCCAATATGAATGCATGCCCTACAGACAAGTCAAGTTTCACTCATTCCTTCAACAATCCTTGAAATGCTAGCATTTAATCTTGACATTATGTAGATTAACAAAATGCAGACCCTTCCCTCAATACCTCATGAAGGAGGGAAAGGAGAGAGACAGTGAAGAGGGAATGTGAAACAACCCCAAAACAAAAAGAGGCATTGCAGGATTCTACGAGGATATCTACAAAAGAGAAACTAACTCTTCTTGGGACCTGATGTAAAGAAAGGCTCACCATGAAAGTCTACACACAGAAAGTTGGTTTTGAGATAAGTTTTAAGAAAGAAATACAAGCTTTCTAGAAAGACAAAGACACTTCACAAAGAGAGAAAGACATATGTGAAAATGCATCTCAACATGCCGCATAGCTGGGTGATTGTGAGTTAAGGGCAGGAGCCTTGATGGCACAGTTGTTAAAGCACCTGGCTTCTAACTGAAAGGTTGGAGGTTTGAACCCACCAGCCACTCTGTGAGAGAATGATGTGGCAGTCTGCTTCCGTAAAGATTTATAGTCTTGGAAAGCCTGTGCGTCAGTTCTACTCTGTATATAGGGTCACCGTGAGTTGAAATCAACTCCATGCCAATGGATTAAGTTAAGGGCAAACAGTGACAGAAGAAAGCAAAAAAAAAAAAAAAAAATCCATTCTGTCAAGTCATTTTTGAATCATGCAACTTCATGTGCTACAGACTAGGGTTTTCATTGGTGTAATTTTTACAGAAGTAGATCTGCAGGTCATTTTCCTGTGGCATTGCTAAGTAGATTTAAACAGCCAACCCTTAGGTTAGTAATTGAGCACCAACTGTTTGTGCCACCCAGGAACACAGGGGAGTGATATTTTATTCCAGGCTTATATGGCAAAATGTCTGGTGATTAGCCTAGCTTCCCTTGGCTTTACTCCCATCACCAGAGAGTAAAAGAAAAAGTTAAGGTTGCTTCTGAAACAGTAGTGAAAAGCAGTTGAACTTCTCTCCCATGTATTAAATATTATCACTCCAATGTTTCTTAGATCAAATAAATTCATTATATGTATCATTCGTGTGGAAACCAAAACCACATACACACAGATTCTTTCTGCTTTCGATGATTAATTAATTCATATTTTGTTGCTGCTACCCAGAATTTGAAAACCATTTCTATCCAAAATATATAACTCATTGAGTGAGTGCCCACAGCTATGAATAGGCTTTAGAGTCAAATCTTGACTCATAGCAACCCCTCCTTGGGTTTCCAAGGAGGTATCACTATGGAAGTAGATTGCCCAACCTTCCTTATAAGGAATGGCTGGTGGATTTGAACTGCCAGCCTTCTGGTTAACAGTCAAATGCCTTACGCACTATGCTACCAGAGCTCCTTTCTAATATTATGAAGGTGACTATTTCCACAGCATAAGAAAAGCATATTGATATTTAATTTCTTGGAATTTTCTGAGTTCTTGGAGTCTTGTGGGTTGACCTTTGAAGAATACACTCCTCTATACTGCTGAAATTTAGCTGTTTGTTAACAACTCTTTATGTTTGGTGATAATAGCAAAGATTTGTCTGGCAAACAGCCATAATAAGGTCTTTTATCACCCTCCATGGCTGATCCAGACTCCTCTTCTCCTCTGCAGGCAGTATGCGGTTCTACTCCCATCACAGCTCTACTCTGGGGTCCCTGAGAAGGCCTGTGTTTCAATGAATAATCTGAATGAGACAGTGACAGTGAATATGACTTTGGAATTTGGAATGCAAAACTGGAACCTCCTCAGGAAAGAGGTGACAGAGACTGGTGCCTTCTTCTGCAGCTCCTTCACTGTGAGTATCATTCTTTGGAACAGTGGTGGAGATTGGTAGAGAAAGGGTATATTAGTTGAGGTTTATGTTCTGACTCCATAACAAAAACTCATAATGGAGAAAAAAAGGATAATTACAAAGTGAATTTCAAATTATACTCTAAGAATGAAAGTTTTACTGAATATATTCCTATAATATTTACAAACGGATCTAGTGAATGATGAAGGATTGCAGTAGCTATAAGAAAGGTTTTTTTTTTCATATGTATCTTAAATAATGCCCATGCCATTATTCCCATTTTACAGATTAAAAACACTTTTCTAAGACCTCACGGATGCTTGAGAGTTGATGCATTATTGTCCCTGTAACTTCTTATTATTTAGAGTATTAAATGTTTAGTTAATCATACTGACTACTACCAATAATGACATATACTTGTGAAAGCTTCCAGAAGAATGAACAAATCTGTCTTGGAAGAAGTACTGCCAGAATGTTCCTTAAAAGCCAGGACGGCTAGACTCCCCTCACTTACTTTGGACATATTATCAGGAGGGACCAGTCCCTGGAGAAGGACAACATGTTTGGTAAAGTAGAGGGTCAGCAAAAAAGAGGAAGACCATCAATGACATGGATTGACACACTAGCTGTAACAATGGACTCACAGAGAGCAATTGTTAGGATGGTGCAGAACTAGGCAGTGTTCCATTTTGTTGTACTGACTCAGAACCAACTCAACAGCACTTAACAACCACGACCACATGAGGTTGACCAATGGAAAATAAAATTTAACACTAATTATAATAGTACTGGTAGCATAGTGCCTAAGGCACTTGACTGCTAACCAGAAGGCTGGCGGTTCAAACCCATCAGCCACTCCTCCAAAGGAAGATGGGGCAATCTACTTCTGTAGTGATACTGCCTCGGAAACCCAAGGAGGGGTCACTATGAGTCGGGTCTGACTCAACGGCACATAACAACAACAACAACAACAATATCCTTGCTGTAAAAATGCAGGCATGATTATTTCCTTCATTGTCATGGCTGGATTGAATGATTTGTTCATTTTATTGAAATGATATTTTTTTTCTCTTTAAATCAATCATTACTGTCATGTTATACAATCATGATCATAAATCGATCAATTTGTAAAACAAGACATAGCCTTGGCCTTCGCCTTTACTAATTCTCATGAGATTAACCAGGTTAACAGAAACAATCAAAAAGACTCAGACATTCTGAAGTGGGTCAGGGCAGATTTTTCAGCTTGTTCTGTTTTACAGATTCCAGATTTCCAATCCTCCTCGGCGTATATTACTGTGCAAGTGAAGGGCCCAACCCAACAGTTCACAAAGAAGAAGCCAGTACACATAACGAAAGTAGAGAGCCTAGTGTTTGTTCAGACAGACAAAACCATATACAAACCAGAACAAACAGGTATTAAAACCTAATAAGCAAGAGCAACTTTAAGGAGGGTGGGTCTTTTATTATTTTACTCAATAGTCACTAGGAGCTCTGGTGGCATAGTACCTAAGGCATTTGACTGCTAACCAGAAGGCTAGCTGTTCAAACCCACCAGCCACTCCTTGGAAGGAAGGTTGGGCAGCCTCGGAAACCCAAGGAGGGGTCTCTATGAGTTGGATCCAACTTGACGGCAGTGAGAACAGTCACTTAAATCCTGGAATGTTGCTCTCTGTGTTACTACCCTGGGTTCCCAATGGAGGGTCTCATGAGAAAAATCTTTGTGTTTCAGTGAGATTCCGCATCATCTCTGTGAATGTCAATTTTCACCCTTTGGATGAAATGGTGAGTCTCATAAAAGTGGATGAGGTTAGTGGAAATGGTCAAAAATTTAAGTCCTATTCTTTTGGAGAACTTGAGACCGTTATAAGAGATATTTAAATCTACCACAGATATTCCAGAGAAATAAGGGAGGTCAGGATCAAGACAATTCATCAACTGCATTCTTAAAATAAGTTAAATATTCCCTTGAAGTTGTTTTAAACATGACTCATCCCCTTAAAGATCCCAGTTATTTTTATTATATAAAAAAACAAAAAACAAACTCACTGCCCTTGACCCATCCTTGGGTTTCTGAGGCCGTATCACTACAGAAGTAGATTGCCCCATCTTCCTTCCGAGGAGTGACTGGTGAGTTTGAACTGCCAACTTTCTGGTTAGCAGTCAAATGCAAAAAGAGAAGACAAAAAGTGCATTGGCTTTTTCTCAGACAGATATTGCCTGCAAAATAAATGTACATGAACCTCTTAATCTAATTACGTTTCCTTAATCATGCATTGGGAGCTCTGGTGATGTAATGTCTAAGGCATTTGACTGCTAACCAGAAGGTTGGCGGTTCAAACCCACCAGCCACTCCTCGGAAGGAAGGTTGGGCAATCTACTTCTGTAGTGATACAGCCTCGGAAACCCAAGGAAGTGTCGCTATGAGTTGGATCCGACTCGATGACAATGAGTTTGTTTGTTTTTTTTTTTAATCATACGTTATATCACACAAGGAAAATCCTGACTTCTTGAGATATATCTCCCAAACTAAACATAGAAAGTGCTGTGAACCAAACAGGGGGGACATTTCCTTCTTTAAATAAGAAATAAGGAGATCAGTTCCTCTCATCCAGATACTTTGTCACTGCAGCTGTCACAGTTTTCTCCTGCTCAATTCTATCTCACACTTGCCATCTCTTTCTTTCGTTTTAGTTCCCAGTGGTTTATATCGAGGTAAGTAATATACTATGTATCTCAATTGGAATGAAAATTTATAAATTATGTTAATTTCCCTCTCTCCTACTCTCCCATATCCTTCACCGAAAGAAACAACTATTTGCCCTGTCTACCCTAAATACTTTGTAAAAATTGGTAAGATACAAATGAAGGAACAAAACCCCTAAGGTAACATAGTTTAGTGACTTTTCAAGCATTTCTGACCAAAATGGATAAGCATAATTTCCAAAAGATGCATTAGTGTGAAGTATTATCTGCAATATCTCTTATCTGCCTATTGCCCTATTACCCAGTCTAAAATTCCTAGGAAACTTTGCTAATAGCTTATTGATGCAATTTATTAATTAACTATTATATACACCCAAGGTCATTCTTACCTAAAAAGTAGCCCCTCCACTCAAAAGTACAAATTTCAATTGTTTATATGAGCTCATAATATTTTTACCCACAGAATCCCAAGAAGAACAGAATTTTCCAATGGCAAAGTCTCAGACTGCAAGGGGGACTCAGTCAGCTCTCTTTCCCACTCTCAGTGGAACCCGTTTTGGGTCCCTACAAGGTCATCGTGCTCAAGGAGTCCGGGAGAAAAATAGAGCACTCCTTCGAGGTGAAAGAATATGGTAAGAATTCTGCATATACAAAGAATGTGTGACATTATGGTAATTAAGATTGAATTGTTTGCACATATAGGTAGCTAGAAAAGTAAAATATATATAATAGTTAAAAATTAACAATCATTTTTATTTACCTCAATATTTGCTAAGCACTTTTCATGCATGCATTATCTCATTTAATCCTTACAACAGTCCTGGGAGGTAGATACTACAATTATCCCCATTTTACTAATGAGCAAATTAATACCAGAAAAGTTAGCAACATACTAAAATCACAGAGCTGATAAGAGCCAAGAGACAGTTTAATAAGTCCATTTGACCCTATTCAAACATAAACTGCTATTTGTGTGATGTACAGGCACTATGTATGTGTCAGTTGATCTATATTTTATAACTGAAGGTATTTTCTGAGATTATCTCTTAACTGCCTGTAGCATACACTGACACTGCTCCAATCACAGTAAACAGACACACTGAAGTCATCTTATTAGTTATCAGTTATGTGGAGTTTCTAATGTAAACTAAATCTTTTATGCTTTGTTTGAGGAATCCTATCACAAAAGCATGATTTCTCAAACTCACTAAAACCATCATGAAAAACATGAAATAAGGATTTATAATGGGGAGCTCTGGTGGCACAATGCCTAGGCATTTGGCTGCTAACCAAAAAGGTCAATGGTTCAAGCCCACCACTATTGCATGCTGCGGAAGGAAGATGGGGCAATCCACTTCCATAAAGATTTACCACCTCAGAATCAATGGGGGTCACTATGAGTTGGAATCAACTCGATGGCAGTGAGTTTTGTTTTTGTTTTTAGTTTAATAGGAATAACACCTTACACAATGGCTGGAGAAGCTGGAAAAATAAGTATTCAGCAAGGGGAGTTGACAGATCAAAGAAAAGTTATGAAGCAGTTCTGCTGAAGCATTGGTAAACCAAAACCAGATCAGCTGCCAGCTAGTTGATTCCACTCATGGAGACCCCATGTGTGTCAGATAGATCTGTGCTGCACAGACTGTTTAATGGCCAGACTTTTGCAAGATGATCTCCAGACCGTACTTCTGAAAGGCTTTTAACTTTTTGTTAGCAGCCAAAGATGTTAACCATTTGTACTGCTCAGGGACTCCAAATCATTGGTGTGGATGGATAAATTGAAGCTTCAAGGCATATGGAAAAAAAAAAAAAAAAAAGGCACCTTCAGCTGACACACTGGACCACAAAAAAGAGTTGATGGAAGAATCCATAAAAGGCTGTTATTTCTGCATAGCTTATCACCTTAAGGTCCAGAGCCAAGTGCCTGGTGGTGGACACAGAATCTCTATTAGTCAGAAAGGTTGGCAGTTGGGGAGAAAAGCTGGACACAGACAGGGAAAGAGTAAGGATAAACTGGAACCTCTTGGTTCCTCTATATCTGTTACCTTATCTCTGATGATCTTAAGACATAAATGGTACTGATTCTTTTTGCATCAGTTCACAGAGATTCTGGAAAATGTAGAATGACCTAGACTAGGTTGCATAACACAAACTGCCATGGTAATGATTGGCATCTGCTTTGTCAATAGTAGACTTGATGCATTATTGCAGTTGAAATCATGCTATGTGATTACATAAGATCCTGTAATAGAATCATTACTAATACTTACAAGATCTCCTACACAATTTCATCTCTTGTTCTCTTCTATTAACAACAGTTTTGCCCCAATTTGAGGTCCAAGTGAAAATGCCTAAGACAATTGGATTTCTAGATGAAGAATTTCCAGTATCTGTCTGTGGCCTGTGAGTTACCTTTTTTCATCTCACTTCTATTTGCTTACTTTATTTCAGTAGATTTATTGCAAGTAACAGTCACTGAACTTTATTTTATTTAAAGTATTTTTATTAAAGAAGGAATAACTCTCGCTCCAGCTTGCCTGAGCCTACACTACAAAGTAGTAGCATATAACACTTTTTTTCCCCCCAGTGGCTGTGAAGTTGACTCTGACTCATAGCCAACACGTGTGGACCTGTGCTTCAAAGGGCTTTGTTTTGTTTTTCTTATTACTTTTTACAGCACAGATTCATTTTACATTCAACAGTTCATACACATTTTGTTTTGTGACACTGATAACATTCTGTACATTGTAACAGCTCTCCTCCCACTTCCCTGTAGTTACTCTTTCCTGTGTCCTCCTTGCCTGTGCATACTTTTCTCCCTATGTGAATGCTGCCCTTCCGTTCTCTCATGGTTGATTGTTCTAAGGAGTGCATCTCCCTGGTGTAGTTGTTCAGCTCATGGGCCTGTCTATTGTTCAACTAAGAGTTAAGCCACAGAAAGAAGTGAGTTCAATTCTAAGCCCAAAGGGTTACTCAGGGCCATGGCCTCAGGGGTTCTGCCAGTACTATCCAATCACTAAATCTTGTCTTTTCTATTTCTTTTTCCCCACATTTTTTTTTTCTCCCTGTGTTTCCAGGATCTCCAATTTTGATCCCTTTCTGAATGGTTGCCATTGGTAGCCGGATACCATCTAGTTCCTCTGTTCTCAGAGTCATATAGGCTGAGTTTCTCACAGTCCATTAGTCTTTTGAACTAACTGTTTCTATGTCTTTGACTTTCTTCACTCTCTTTGCTCTGGACAAGGATAGACCAATAGTTTCATCTTGGATGGATGTTCCCAAACTTTTAAGACCCCAGTCACTATTCATTGAAGTAAGATGTAGAACAATATTTTTGTATACTATGTTATGCCTATTGAGCTTGATGTCCCCCATAATATTGTCTCCAATCTGTAGGCCTAGTGACCCACTTCCTCAAGATGCTTAGTTGTAGCTAAGAAGTTATCCTAACTTTGCCCCTGTTAACTTTAAACTGCATATGGACATTTTTATAGCACATAAAAATACACATATAGGAATATCACCTGTCAAAATTATGTGCAGTCACAAGTATATTCCCATTCACCTTTTCATACCTGATCTTCTTGCCTACCTACATATTCTCCTGTAAATTAGTGTTTGCTATTACTGATAATGCAGTACTATGCATGCAATAGTATTTAGCTTTATTGTGTGTAACGCTTGTGCACCTCTCCATGTCTTCCTTTTCCTTCATGATATTGTGCTAATTGTTGTTGTTGTTGTTGTTATGTGCCGTCGAGTCAGCCCCGACTCATAGCGACCCCTCCTTGGGTTTCCAAGGCAGTATCTCTACGGAAGTAGGATTGCCCAACCTTCCTTCCGAGGAGTGGCTGGTGGGTTTGAACCACCAGCCGTCTGGTTAGCAGGCAAGTGTCTTAGCCACTATGCTACCAGAGCTCCCACTGTGCTAATTACACCCTTTAATTATATTGCTTTTCCCTTCACCCATATCAACATCCACCTGTTAACTTTGCATCTATTTTTCCTCCCTTTCCCTCCCATTCCTGGTAACCAATAAAGAAAATTTCCTTCCCTTTGTAAAGCTTTCCTTGACTTTTTATAACGGACTCATAAAATATTTGTCCTTCTGTGGTTGACTTATTTCACTCAGCTTAATGTCCTTCAAGTTCATCCATGTTGAGGTGAATTACTGATTCTTCATTATTCTTTAATGTTGCATAGTATTCTATTGTGTACATGTACCATAATTTGGTTATCAATTCAACTACTGAAGGTCACTTGGGTTGTTTCCATCTCTTTGCTACTGCAAATAGTGCTGCAATGAACATGGGTGTGCATCTATCTATTTGTGTGCCAGATATCACCTCTTTAGGACATATTGCTATCAGTGGGCTTGCTGGGTTAAATGGTATTTCTAGTTCTAACTTTTCAAGGAAGCACCATACTGTTTTCCACAGTGGTTGTACCATTTTACAGTCCCACCAGCAGTGTATAGAGTTCCAATCTCTCCACACCCTCACCAGGATTTGTTGTTTTCTGTCTTGTTGAGCTTTGCTATTATTCCTGGGGTGAGATGATATCTCATTGTTTTGATTTGCATTTCTCTGATGGCTAATGATCATGAACATTTCTTCATGTGTCTGTTGGCTGCCTGAGTATCTCCTCTGCTGAAATACTCTGCCCATTTTTGAACTGGATTTTTTGTCTTTTTGATGTTGAGGTATTGAAGTTTCCTATAAATTTTAGAGATAAGTCCTTTGTTAGATAAGATGTTGCCAGATATTTTTTCCCAATCTATAGGTATTCCTTTTACTGTGTTGGAGAAGTCTTTTGACACACATAAGAATTTAATTTATATGAAGGTCCTAGTCATCTAGTTTCTCTTCTGCTATTTGTGCATTTTGGGCTATGCTTCATGGTCTATTTATGCCATAAATTAGGGCCCCTAGGTTTGCCCCTATTTTATCTTTGATGAATTCATAGGGGTTTTAATAGCTAGTTTTTCTGAAGTAGAATGCTAGACCTTTCTTCAGAAGTGCCTCTGGGTAGATTTGAACTTCCAACTTCTCAGCAGTCAAGCACTTAACTGGTTGCACCACCCAGGAACTCTGACTCTTCTACTACTGGTGAAAAATCATTTTTGAATGCTGTCAGACAATATTATAAGCTACTTGAACTTATTAATATATTTTATTCTTACACTAACCCTGATGTATGAGGATAATTACAGCCTCATTTTGCAAATAAAAAACTATAAAGGTTTTTTTTTTTTTTTTTTTTGAATGCTCAAGTTCCTATAGATAGTAAATGGAAGAACTGGAATTTAACAGTCAGGCTCCATACCCGGAACCCTTCACCACATTTCTATATTGTCTCCAAAATTTAAAAGAAAAAAGTCTAATCTTATGAAACATATTTATATAACCCAGACACTGTGTTAGGTGCTCTCCATAGATTCTTCTCATTCATAACACTATTACTGTCTGATTTATGAAAAGGAAGACTAAACTGAGGCCATCTAACTCTGGAGGTTGTGACCATAACTGCTGTGCTGTACTGCATCCTACTCTCTCCATTTTCTTTATTACTCTCAATTTTTTAAACTATGGAGAAGGAAGAAAAATAATTGGGGACAAGCTAGGCTACACTCTACCTTAGACATTGCATATACATGGCTGTTGTCATTAGCTCTCAATGAGTAAGCTTCCAACCCATGGCAATCTCATGTACAACAGTATTGAACCATCAAGATTCATATGGTTTTCATTGGCTGATTTTTTGGGAAGTAGATCTCCAGGTTTTTCTTCCTAGTCTATCTATCATAGTCTAGAAGCTCCACTGAAACCTGTTCGGTATCATAGCAACATGCCAACCTCTGCTGACAGATGATGGTAGCTGTGCATAAGACTGGGTATCAAACCCTGGTCTCCTGAACAAAAGGTGAGAATTCTACCACTGGATCCCCACTGCTCTCATATATACACGGTAGAATTGAAAAATAAGTATCACAGTGATTTCTGTCCCGATTACCTTTAAGTGTGTAATAGAGTACCTCCACACCCACAGAGAAGAGAAACGTCTGCCTTGCTTTTTCAGACAGCATGAAAAGCATGTTTTCATCCTCTCATCAGCCTTGATGTTTTACATTTTTCACCAGAGGAAAAGCCTTTTGATCCAGATTTGAAGAGTCAACAAAGTGATTTAAATTTACAAGATCTATTTCTTATCAGGACTTATAGGGATATGGGGTGGGGGAAATCTATTAAAACAGGAAGCTTGAGGATCTGAGGAAAACTTCATCTACTTCATGATTTGGACTAAGGCAATAGGTCTCAAAATGGAATGGGCATAAGAATCTACAGGAGTACTTAGTGAAAATGTACATTCCCTGGTCGCCTCTCCAGAGATTCTAAACTTAAAACTGAGGAAAATCTCAGGAAGCCATTTCTCAGCATATGCCCAGGTAATTTTAGTGTAGGTGATCCATTAAAAAAAAATAAGAACCAGTAGACTAAGTTCAACTTTGCGTCATATGCATCTATCATGTTTGGCAAATCAAACTGACTTATTATGATATTATGCATATATAGTATTTTTGTTTATAGCTACTGGTTCTGTTTAACATCTAATAATTTCTCTTCCAACACATATGAGTTAGGGAGGACCTAGAAATACATTCTCTATGTATCCCTTGTTTTGGTTATTTTGTGTACCTCTAACAAAAACACCATAGGTGGATGGCTTGGCTTGAACAAACAGGAATTTATTCTCTTACAGTTTTGGAGGCTTTAAGTCAGAGTTCAAAGTGCCAGGCGCTACGGTCTTGGTGAAAGCTCCTTGACCTTGGGCCTCAGCTCTACCTCTTGCTCCTGGCCCAGCTGGAGGCTTTCTTCACTCAGGCAGCTGCTGGCTGCTGAAGCTGACAAACCCAAAGTCGACAAGTAAAAAGACACAGTCTCAATAATACCAAACCACATGGCAGGCAGCTAATTCAAGTCCCAAAGAACTCCCAAGATTGGCAGGGCAGGCTACTGAATAACAACTCAGCTTATAGGCAGGATTCAAGCATGCCATAAGTTACAGACCTTCCTCAAAGTTGCTTCCTATATACTGGAAGCAGACCACATCCCTACTCAGCTGCTCACACTAGATTCCACCATGGAGTTGATTACCAATCTCACCATGGGGAATAAGTATATCCAGCTGCACAGACACTCAAAACTAGGCCCAGCCAAGTTGACATATAACCTTAACTACTACATCCCTCAATAGACTTGTAATTAATAGAAAAGCAAAGATTGGTAATGAGTAACTCAATAATTAATGAATAAACTTCATGTAATGTTTCTTTAGATGAATCAGATAGATATATGAATGGATCAAATAAGGTAAAGAAATATCTGTGCTATTTATGCTAAATATCTGTTTTTTGTATAACCACTCTGTTATTATAGATACACATATGGAAAGCCTGTCCCTGGTCTGGTGACAATTAATGTATGCAGAAAACTTTTACGATACTCTTCCGCCTGTCATACGAAATATCCACAAAATATCTGTGAGAAATTCAGCCAACAGGTGAGTGGAAACCACTCTCTCCAGGGCGCTAATATCAGATCTTGTATTCTCTTGGATTAAATTGTGAATACAGTATAGCAGGGAATAGTTTGAAATAGTCAATGTGGAAAACTGTGCAGGAAGGGAAACATTGTAAGATTTCCTAGTAAAGTTAGGGATCACTTGAGGGTTGCTGTTGTTGTTGTTAGGTGATGTCAAGTGATGGCTTGAGAGTGGGGAGCTTGAATTACACTGGCATTAATTTGGTTACTTTTATAATTTCCTTTCAGCAACAATAAATACTCCAGAGGGATAGAAGGGCATGTCTCAGGTTGGCTTCTGTCAAACAGATAACAGAAGAAACATATGACAGGTGTTAAGAACTTGACTATAAAAGAAAATGAACTGCATAGGGAAGACTATTAAACCAGCAGTGAGTTGAGGAGGAGGAAGACATAGGGGGACAACGAACTAGAGGCCCCAATTAGATGAAAGAAGAGCTGTAATAAGAACAATAATTAAGGGAAGCAGCTGAAAGTAGAATATGTTGTAGCAAAAAATGGAATATATAAATCAGTGATTTCAGAAGAGGAGTACTTACAAGTAAGCAAGTTTCTTGGGATATGGGGGGAAAAAAAGCTATAGAGAGAAAATAAATGAGAGGCCAGGGTGCTGAGTGGGCTACCAAGATAAACATTAGTAAACAAGATAAATTGAAACATGGAACCTAATATTTAATTTGGAAATATATGTCTTCTCACTAATATTATTAATTCATATTAATTATTAATATTCTGATTCTTATTAATACCCTAGACTTTAGAAAAATGTAGTTAACAAAATACAATCCCTGATACTTAGGTGGCAGTGCTTACAGAATGCCTCTTAGAAGATGTTAGTCTGAGTTGAGTTTTGAAGAATATTAAGTGTTGTTTAAGTCCCTGGGTGGTGCTAACAGTAAATTCCTCTGCTGCTAACTAAAAGATTGGAAATCTACCCAGGGCACCTTGGAAGAAAGACCTAGCCATCTACTTCCAAAAAATCAGTGCACATGGGGTCTGATACACATGGGGTCATTATGGGTTAGAATCAATTCCGAAGCAATAGGTTTGATTGGGGGGTGGGTGGGTTCAGTATTGGCCAAGGTAAGAATGGGGAAAAGAATGTTACTTTTTGAGGAACAACATAGAGATGGAAGTACAACATATCATGGCACATTTGGAAGCTCTAGTAAATTCAATATGGTTGAAACTTAGTGTAGGTTTCAGAAGAGAGAAAAGCAAAGATTAGTAATGAATAACTCAATGATTAATGAATAAACTTCATATAAATATTGGACTGGGGAAGAGTATGCACCAAAAGGATAACTAGAATGTTTATAAAATTTCTATGACCACTAACAATGTTTCTTAGATTGTCTACTGACTCTCTTATATTAAATCAAAGGAGTTCTTTTCCTTTCTCTTTAGGCAGACAGTAAAGGTTGTTTCTTGCAACTTGTAAAGAGTAAAGTATTTCATCTGAGGCAAAAAGGATATGACATGTCAATACAAGTGGAAGGCAAGATCAAAGAGGAGGGAACAGGTTTGTATTATTATTAAATGTCTATTAATTTGATACAAATTTATCAAACTTACATTCTATGTAACATTTTACATTTGTTGGGGATTATTAAAATGACATAGTAGTTGCTCACAAGGAATTAAAACTCTAAAAACTGAATTAAATATATATGTGTGTGTATATATATATATATATATATATATATATATATAACCATCATAAAATTTCCACAAGAAAAGGGAAAACTAAGGATCAAACAAATATGAAGAAAGAGGTAATTAATAGAGGTAGAGTCAGAAAAAAACTTCATAGATGAAGTAGGATTTGAGCTGATTGTTATAGAATGGATACTATTTTGAAAGATAGTAATGGCAAGCAAAAGGATAATAAGAACAAATGTGTTCGATCCTAGAAAGTCTGAAAATGTAGACTAGTGCTCAGTTGTGGAGGAAAGTTACTCATATGATAAGGAGTTTAGACTTTATCATGAAGATCTTTAGAATAGCTTCAGATATATTTAAGGAAAAGAATAACATAAATAACTTGATATATTTGTAAAAAATAATTCTGCAGCCATGAAGACAGGTGAGATGAATAATTTGTTACATTGTGATACATCAGGATACTGCTGGGGCAACTCAGATAATATCATCCTGCACTAGGAGAACTATAAACATACATAAATAAGGAATAAAATTTGTTGCTATTTTGAAGGTAAAATCAACTTATCTTGCTGAGAGATCTAACATGGATGGAAAAAAAAAAAGCAAAAACGAACCCCACTGCCATTGAGTCAATTCCAACTCATAGTGACCCTAAAGGACAGAGTAGAACTGTCCCGTAGAGTTTCCAAGGCTATTAATATTTACGGAAGCAGAATGCATCATCTTTCTCCTGCAGAGAAGCTGGTGGGTTTGAACTGCTGAACTTTTGGTTAGCAGCTGAATGCCTTAACCATTGTACCACCAGAGCTCCTATGAAAGGGAAAGATAGGTACAGAAAATTCAAAGATGACCCCCAAAGATTCCAAATTTGGGGCCTGGAAAATAGAAATACTGTTAACCAAAACAAGGAGTGCTTGAGGAATAACTATTGTAGTAAGAATAGGTCAAAAATTGTCAACAATAATTTGAAATCTCAAAATGGAAGGTGATTGATCTAGCTGATAGTTTTAAGAAAGAAGAAGAACAAAGTCTAGACCAGAGACTTAAATCTGGGGTCATTCTTGTTGCATTTATATCTTCCTGAACAGAGTGACTACAATGGAAAGTAAGCTCATGTCACGTTGCTAAATTTAAGACAGAGACAGGACAAAGAGGAGTACAAGAACAGAAACTACATTTAGGAGAGAGGCAGCATCAAATAAGTCAGCATAATAAAATTAAAAGTCGTAGAGATAGGGGAAGAATAAGATAAAACAATTTCTTCCAAGTCACAGGATGGAAGTTTCAATAGTGCTTATGTATGAAATGCTGATAAGAATTCATATATGATGAAGTCTGAGACAAGAATTCTAAGGTATCCATTAAAATTTGGTAGACTGATATTTTAGATGATGAGGACAAAATACAGATTACACTTCATTGAAGAAAAATTCACTAAGTGCTGATTATACCTTGGATAGACTATACATGAAAAGAAAGACCTTGCTGGGGAAGTATTTTGTAATAGAAATTTAAGCCAAAGATAGAATTTTCAGGCCAAAGTGTAGAATCTCTTATGCAGAAAGCTGTAGGTGGAGAACAGGCAAGTGAGAAATGCAGAAACAAAGACAAAACAAGATCACAGAAGAAAGGAGAAAGACCTCGTCGAGAACATAGGTGGAACAAGGAGAGATACTTGTGAAACCAAAGGAATTGGGAAATGATGCATAACAATACGTTTTTATATGAAGTTGAAGCTGATGGAGTCAAATAGCTTCTATCTTACAAATGTGAAAAAAATTCCTCAAAGAATAGGAAAAAAGAATATGAGTGATGTTTCATATGATGGAGTGAGTCTGGAGTGGAGGTAGCAGGTGAGTTTGAAATACATAGAACAGTTCAACTTTCCTTATTTCTTTTGCAGGTTTGGAATCAACTGGGTATGGATCATGTAAAATCACAAATATCTTGAGCAAACTGAGTTTTATAAAAGTGGATTCATATTTCAAACCTGGTCTCCCTTTCTTTGGACAGGTAAAGTATCTTCTGAACAAAATCATAATTTAAGGAGTGATGCTTTGCAATAAAATTTTTTTTAATCCCAAAATCAAAATGTATTACAAAAGTGAATATTTGTTTAGAATAAGAAATCATAGCAAATCACAAATTCAAAAAGAAAATGTCATCACAAAATCCAGGAAAAGGCATTATTTTTATTAATTAACTTCCTAACACATCTCTATATGTTTCTATAGTTTGGCTACACTCTTTGATTGCCTCTTTATAGATAAATATTTTATAATATCATTTTCCATAGAAAGACTAAAACAATGGTTAAATATTTTTTAAAAACACTAATAATTTAGAAAAGTTTCTGATTCAAATCTCAATATTAATAATACAAATATTGGTAAGTTTTAGGACTGTTATCAAATTTAGTAAAATATCAATTTTATTTTATATAAGAAATGTAAGATTTTTAGGTACTTTTAATTTTCTTTTGTAATAGCTAATCTTTGAATTGACAGTGTGTGGGCAATTGCTTCATTCCAGTGGCATGTTATAAATTTTTACTTTCTTCATTGATTCTACTATTTTGTATCTTATCAGTAATAAACAAATAAGTGTATAGACATGATTGGGTGAGACCATTTCAGGCTGAGAAAAGAGCATGAGAAAATTGAGGACTTGAAAGATGAGTACAGTTAAACAGAAATTGAAGCTAAAGTGAATGGTCAAGGCCCTAGATGTGAAACAACTTTTCAAGAGCAAAGAATTAATGGTGGCTAGTGTTTTTGTAGCTGACATGGAAGATGGAATTTTTAATACTCTTATTTTATCCTAGGAGACTGACAAGTGACTGGAAGTTTTAATAAGAAAAATAACATGATCAGATGTGCTCAAGCTATATAGAAAATAGTTTGAAGTAAGGATAAAGCTGCAAGAAGGAGGACTGCATAAGATTAAGGAGCAGGCTAATGGAAACCAGATGGGAGAAACTATTGTGGTTTGGACTGGGATGTAGCAGTGGACTATTTGGAGAGAAGTAGACAGGATTAAAATATGGTTACTAAATGGAAGAGACAGCACTTGGCAATGAATGGATATAGTCAGTGAAAGAGATAAAATGACCAAGATCCCAATATTCCTGTATAAACTAATGGATGAATAAAATCAAACCAAACTCACTAACATTGAGTTGACTTGGCTCATAATGACCCCTCCTTGGATAGCCAAGGTAGTATCTTTATGGAAGTAGATTGCCCAATGTTCCTTCTGAGGAGTAGCTGGTGGGTTTGAACCACCAGCCTTCTGGTTATCAGTCAAATGCCTTAGGCACTACACCACCAGAGCTCCCAATGGGTAAATAGAAAGACCAAATACTGACATAGAGAACACCAGGGAAAAAGATTTGGGAATGTAACATCATGAGTCCACTTCTGTGTATGTCTTATCCGAATAGAATTGTCAAATGTAAAAAAAAATAATTGAGAGTCCAGACAATATGTCTTGTTGCCAAATTCTGACGTCTTCAGTAAATGACAAGAAGTGACCAGTAAGTCAAGAAATGAACACAACAGAGTGGAATGTGTTATTGCTATATGATACTTGGAAACAACTATCACTTTCATATTTCTAGGTTCTTCTAGTTGATGAAAAGGATCAGCCAATCCCCAATAAAAACATAACTGTACATGTGGATGGAGGTAGATTCCAATACAGCTTTCCTGCTAATAAGCATGGTTTGGCAAAGATTGTCATTGATAACACTCACTTCACCTCTTCTTTCACTACAATTACAGTAAGTAGAAATGGGCATTGGGAATGAACAAATACAGATCATTGGGACCTCATCATTTAAGAGTATATGGGAATCATTTGAACTCAAGGGATAAAAGGACAGGTGATAAAGAATGAAATAGGAATTAAGTAATTTGGAAACCTAAATTAAAATACAACTTTCTCAGTCAAAAAGCTTTTAATTTAGATAAACTCTGTTGATGACATGAGCTAGTTTCAGGAGACATTGAATAAATCATCTTGGTATTCTCTTGAAAGTGTGACATTTTTATAATTTTAAGACATGCTAGATTTTGCTTGATTTCTTTGGTGTATTATTATTCTTGTTATGTGCTGAATATTCAAATGTTCTTATGCAATGTACCACCATAAGAGTGTTAAGAAAAATGTATTGATCTTGATGCAATTGAATAATAACTACTGATCACTATAGCACAAATTTATATGACTTTAGGGGGAATCTGCTTACAGAGTGTTTTATTTGAGAAAGTAGACTCGGTACATAGTTCCCAAATATATAATAAAATACATTTAATAAACATGTAATAATAATAATCCTATATCAAAATATAAAAATAAAAAACTCACTCCCATTGAGTTGATTCTGACTCAAAGGAACCCCCTTTGGGTTTCCAAGGCAGTAAATCATTATGGAAGTAGATTGCCCAGTCTTCCATCCATAGAGTGACTGGTGCGTTTGAACCACCAACCTTCTGGTTAGCAGTCAAATGCCTTAGGTACTACATATATTAATTTAAAAATTCCATATTTAAGACCTTTATTTCTTTTAGGTCATTTATAAACCAACTGACCACTGTTATGATAACTTTTGGCTTCAAGAATCTCATAAGCAAGTTCAGCATACTGCAAAACGTGTTTTCTCCCCAAGTAAGAGTTTTATTCGTCTTGAACCTGTTGCTGGTACTTTGACCTGTGGACAAACCCAGGAAACCAAGATACACTATATCCTGAATGAAGAGGTCCTGAAGGACCAAAAAGAGTTAACTTTCTATTTTTTGGTAAGAATAAAAGCCACTAAAGTGCTTTCTGATTGTGCAGACTCCAAAAAAGTAGAGGTGCTATCTAAGCAATGCCTCTTATAAGAAATCATATCAATATAGTTTTGTGTGTGTGTGTGTGTGTTTTGCTTAGAGAAGTTAATTCCTAACAAGATTACTAATGCTTTGCTTTCTCATTTTATCCTGATGTCCACTGAAAGTTATAGGTATTTTTCTTGCTGAGTTCCAATGGTAAATTATTGAATGAGAGAAGATAGATGCTAAAACAAAAGTTTTATTAGAAAAAGAGGATGTTTTTCTTAGAACTCAGTAGATAAATAATCAAAGGTAAGAACCAAGAATTTATTTAAAAGGAAATAAAAGTTATAAACAACCCTCTGGGAAAATATTCAACTCTGACATTAATTGGCAAAATGAAAACTGAAACAATAAGACATTTTACACCTACAAAACCAAAAAAAAAAAAAAAAATTTTGTTGTTGAGTTGGTTCTGACTCACAGAGAACGTATAGGACAGAGTTGAGCTGCCCATAGTGTTTCCTAAACTGTGATCTTTACAGAAGCATATTGCACATCTTTCTCCCAAGGAACAGCTGATGGTTTCAAACCTTTTGGTTAGCAGATGAGCACTTAACCACTGCTTCACCAAAGCTCCTTTTACACCTAATAATGCTTTATAACAATTTATAAACTTCATATGAGGTAGAGACCAAACATACCTCTACTTTCCAACTTTTTATCAATTCTGACACCAGCCATCCCTCCCACCGAACTCTATTTCTCCTCTGGGTTTGATAATCCATTGTAATAGCCACACAGAACTCACAGAATATACTTACAGTCAAGGAACAGGGTACAACTCAGGATCAGGATTAACAGGCTGCAACTCAAGATCAGGCTCAGGAAGAATGTAGGCAAAGTCTCCCTTCTTCACTGCATTACAGCTCTCTCAGCTCCCCTACACCATGCAGAACTCCCCACAACCCCCTCAAGACAGGCTTTCTTGGCTATGCCATCTGTTACCGCTGACTCTGCCTCCAGGCCCCTTTTAGGCTCTCACCCTGTCTTTATTTTTACAGCCACTGACCTATGTTATAGCTCTTTTACACGATGCCTTGCCTTTTCTCTCTTTGCTTCCTTTTTCTTTGTTCTGTTTCTACCTGGGGCTTCTCTTCCTGCTTCTTTCCATCTGACAAACCTCTGTGGCGTTGGCTGTCTATATACACAGCCCCTTGTCAATTTCAGAGCATGGCACTGCCACTTGGGCCATAAACTGACCAATACCCTCTTGGTAAGCCACAGATGCTTCATATGCATAGTAGGCTACAGTCACTTCATTTGCATAGTCCACTGACCAATCCCTGCAAGGTGTATACTAATCACAAGGCAGGCTGCAGGCCAGAACCAAACAAAAACAAACCACAAGTTGTTTACAGCTAACCTAGGTGCAAAAAGGGTGTGGAGGCAGCATAAAGAAAGGCGTGCCTATGGGCATGGCAGAGGAGAGGCCTCCTGATCAAAGAATTATATCCCAAGCACATTCCTGAGCCTCATTTATAGCTTATTGCTTTCCTAATAAAGCCCATAATCATTAACATTGTCCGTGAGTTCTGTGTGGTCGTTGCAACAAATTACCGAACCCAACAGAGAAACAGTGAGTGCCACGGGAAGGACAGTTGGTTTAAGAATTGTTCAAATGATGGAGAGTGGTGGCATGTCTGACCTCCATTTCATAGGGATTATGGTTTATTTATATATTTTAAATGTGTTTCAGTAAGTTTAGTTTATGCTTTAAAACAATAATGACATCCATCCCACATGCCAACTGCATTCACTCCAAACTAACATTCCCAAAAGCCTCAACCCATTATAGCATTAACTCAAGTCCAAATCTCATCTTTTGAGACCTAAATAAATCATTTTAAGAAGAAGAAGTGTTATTCAGGAAATTTTGTATAGGAATATTAACTATAAGTAATATCTTTAAAAAACATTCTATTAAAAAGTAAATTAATTACTAAGAATCTTAGCTCTATCGCTTCCTAGTTCTGTGACCTTGGACAATCTACCTCATCTCATCTATAAAGAAATATCAGTCATCTCATGTGAATACTGGATATAATATTAATACCTACTTCATGGAATTATTATGCAGATTAAGTCATAAAACTAAATTATTTAGTTCAGTACTTAGTACACATAGAGTGTTTAATAGTTTGTTTTCTAAATAGAGGCAATATTAGAGAACACTTATGCATATTTTATATCTGACTACACTGTATTTTGTTTTGCACATAGCGGATGCTTAAAATATTTGTTGAAAGAATAATAAGTAAAGTTGAAATATCAATATCCAAGAGAAATAGTAAATACCAAGTAAAATACTAAAATGTAAAAGCATATATTGTTATTTTAAGTATATAAACATACAAACAAAAAATATTGAAAAATTATGTGATGAAAATAGTTTTTCAGTTAAAATAGTGAGGTCATGGTTTATTTATATATTTTTAATGTATTTCAGTAAGTTTAGTATGTATACTTTAAAACAGTAATGAGTTTATTTCTGTCTTCAGATCAAAGCAAGAGGAAGCATTGCCCAATCAAGAATTGATGTGTTGAATATTGAACAAGGAAATAGTAAGTGTTTTCAGGATTTTCTATTTTTCCTGTCACCTCTTCAAACCCTGAGCAATTTAGGATGATAAAGTTATTTTCAAATTAGAGGAAATGGTCACCAACTTTCTATCAACCAAGATGGAAAAGCTGATAAAAGAGGATGATATACTGGATATATTTCAGTCCACTTAATATTTCTTCTTTTTATAGCATTTCTATGCTTTAAATCTCATTCAAAAACTAAACTATCTTATAATTAAATAATTTGAAGTTCATAAAATAATTTAAAAATTCAGGATATAGTTTTATAATGTGGAAACTTACAAAAAAAAATTTACTTTCTATATTTTTTTATTAGTTTCCTATTGCTACTATAATAGATCACCACAAACTTACTGAGTTACTCGTTTTATATATCTATACCTGTATATCTATATATAGATATATAGATACAATCTGACAGTCTGTAGGTAAGAAATCTCATTAGGCTAAGATATAGGTGCTAGCAGGACTTCTAGCCTCCTGGAGCACTCAGGAAGAATCTGTTTTCTTGCCTTTTCCATCTCCTAGAAGCTGCCACCTTCCTTGGCTTGGGGCCCATTTATCTGTCTTCAAAGCCAATAACTTTCTCTCTCGCACTCTCTCTCTTGCTCTCTCTCTCTCTCTCTCTCATACACATTCCTGCCTCCCTCTAAAAAGACCCTTGTGATTGCAATAGTGCAATAGTTTCCCCTGGATCATCCAGGGTAATCTTCTCATCTCAACATCCTTAATGTAATCATAGCTGTAGTCTCTTTTGCCATTAGGGTATAGCATTTGGAGGTTTGGGGAAATAAGACTTGGATATCTTTGAGTGCCATAGTTCTACCTGCCACAATCTGGCCTCTTGCCACCAAAGATTAACAAAACCATCCCACATGCAAACTGCATTCACTCCAAACTAACATCCCCAAAAGCCTCAACCCATTACAGTATTAACTCAATAAAGATCTAAATTAAGTGTGGGTGAGACCTGGGTATAATCCATTCTAGATCTAAAGAGTCACTGGTCTCAAAGAATTTTGAAGTCCAGTGGAGTAACAACATTTTATTTTAAGGCCTAGGAATGATTCTCTGTGGTCCATGTCTCTACCATCTAGGCATGAAACTTCACTCAACATCATTTTTCCTTTTTTCATGAAAGGTCGCACATTATTAAGGAGCCCTGGTGGTGCAAATTGTTAATTGCTCAGCCGTTAACCATAAGGCCAGCAGTTCAAACCTGCCAGCAGCTCCACAGAAGACTGGGCCATCTGCTCCCATAAAGATTAATCCACTGCCATTGAGTGGATTCTGACTCATAGCAATCCCTTTTGGGTTTCCAAGGCTGTAAATCTTTACAAAAATAGATTGCCTCATCTTTCTCACATGAAGAGGCTGGTGGATTTGAACCGCCAACCTTCTGGTTAGCAGTCAAATACCTTACGCACTGTGCCACCAGAGCTCCTTTCCCATAAAGATTACAGCCAAGGAAACCCTTTTAAGCAGTTCCATTCTGTGCTATAGGGTTGCTGTAAAATGGAATTGACTCAACAGTATTCAACAAAAAAAATAAAAACAGCATATGATTGCAGCTGAGTAGTTTTAGCAGCTTGTTTCCTGTCTGTAGAATTTAAGCAACCTACAGTCTTCTTTCATTTTGTACTCTGTCCCTTTTCCCCCAAATTGACAGTGTTTCTGTTAGTATAAAACTCTCAAGAACCTTTTGGGTCTCCTGTGTATCACAGGGATTCACTCCATTAAACAAGAAGCTTCTCCAAAGACCTTTCTTGGATAATTCCATCCCTATTTTTAGCATATGCTGAGGTGGCTGAGAGAATCTATGAGTCATATTCTTAATCTCTTCAAAGAGCCTCTTGTGCGTCGAATATTCTAGGTTTTTGTTTTTTCCTGATGTACTAGTAAATGGTTATCCAGCCACACTGTAGGCTTTTTCTCTAGAGTACAATTCCTGACAGCAAGTTGATTCGTTTTAGTGTCTTGTGCAATCTGGATAAATTGAGAATTTCCTGATAACGAAGTCCTGGATCCTTTTTGGTTAACAGTGTTTTCCTCATTTTATCTCTTTCCTCTATTTTCATGTTATTGAGCTTTGAGTTGATATATTCTGGATACGGGTCCTATATCAGATAAACATTTTGCAAATACTTTCTCTCAAATTGTGACTTGTCTTTTCATTCTCTTAACTTCATCTTTACCAAAAAAAACCCAAAAAAACCGAACTCACTGTCTTCGAGTTGGATCTGACTCATAGCGACCCCTCCTTGGGTTTCCTAGGCCTTATCACTACAGAAATAGATTGTCTAACCTTCCTTCTGAGGAGTGGCTGGTGGGTTTGAACTGCAAGCCTTCTGGTTAGCACTCAAATGTCTTAGGCACTATGCCACCAGAGCTCCCAACTTCATCTTTAGAAGGGTAGAAACTTAAAATTTTAATAAAAATCAATTTAGCTATTTTTTTTTTAATATTCATCATTTTATGCCTGAGGAAATCTTGTGTCTAAGAAATCTTTGGCTAACTCAAAATCACAAAATATTTCTTTTATGTATTCTTGCAGAAAATATATAGTTTAAAATTTTATATTTATGTAGATCCCTTTCAAGTTACTGTTTGATGCTGTGTAGGGTATGGATCAAAGCTCATTTTTTAAAATATGGATGTCCAATTTTTCAGCACTATTTGCTGATATACTTGCTTTCTCCACAAAATTGCCTTCCGCCTTTGTCAAAAATGTAGTTGATTTTATTTAGATTGGTGTATTCTGAGCACTCTATTCTGTTCCATTGATCTATTTGTTTATCTTTAGATCAGTGTCATATTGCCATGATTACTGTAACTTTATAAAACTAGAAATCAGATAATGCTAGTCTTACAACTTTACTCATTTATAAAGCTGTTTTGGCATTTCAAGTTCCTTTACATTTTCCATATCAATTTTAGAATTAGCTTGTCCATTTCTACAAAACAAAATCCTTCTAGAATTTTGATAGGGATTGCATTGAGTCTATAGATCAACTTGGAACTGATTTATTTTTAATACTATTGAGTCTTTTTACTCATGAAAACAATATATATTTCTATTTATTTAGATCTTTAATTTCTTTCAGTAAATCTTGTAATTTTCAATGTAGAGGCATTGTATATCTATTTTCAGGATTATTTTTAAGTGCTTCATATATTTTTATACTATTGTAAATGGTACTGATTTTCATATCAGCTTCTAATTTTTTGTTGCTAATATACATAGTCCCTAAGGCACTTAACTGCTACCCAGAAGGCTGGCGGTTCAAACCCACCAGCCATTCCTCAGAAGGAAGGTTGGGCTATCTACTTCCATAGTGATACCACCTTGGAAACCCAAGGAGGGGTCGCTATGAGTCAGCGTCTGACTCCACAGCACATAACAACAACAACAATATACATCCAAACCAAAGAGCAAACTCCCTACCATCAAGTAGATTCCAACTCATAGCAACCCCCATTGGGTTTCTGAGGCTATAAATATTTACGGAAGCAGACTGCCTCATCTTTCTTCCATGAAGCAGCTGATAGGTTCAAACCACTGATCTTTTGGTTAGCAGGCAAATGCCTTAACCGCAATATAACCAGAGCTCCTTAGAGATAAATACAATTTATTTATTTTAATTGATCTTATATCCTGCAACTTTCATTTTAGTAACTTTTAAAATTATGTTGAATAGAAGCAATGAGAGTAGGTGTCTTTATATTTTTCTTGAACTTAATGGGGAATCATTCAGTCTTCAACATTTAAGGAAGTTTCCTTCTAGTCCTGTTAGATAAGAATTCTTATCTGGAATGGATGTCAGTTGTGTCAAAAGCTTTTTCTGTGTATATTATCTCCTTTTTTCTTTTATAGTTTATTAATATAGTGAATTGCATTGACAGATTTTTTTAAATATTAAACCACTTTACATTCAAGGAATAAAAATATTTTGTCATGAAGTATTATCCTTTTAATATATTGTTAGATTCAATTTGCTAAAAAGAAAAATAAAAACTTTTATATCTATGCTCATGAGGGATAGTGGTCTATAGCTTTCCTTTCTTTTTTGTCTGGCTTTGGTATCAGGTTAAAGGTGGTCTAATGAATGAGCTGGGAACTCTTTCCTTCTTTTCAATTTTCTGGAAGAGTTTGTTTACACTTGATATTTTTTTCCTCCTTATATCTGACAGAATTTACTAGTGAAGCCATCTGGCTATGGAATGTTCTTTTTGGGAAAGTTTTAACTACAAATTCATTTTCTTCAGTAGACAAAGGGTTATTTAGGTTAGCATTACTTTTTGAATGAACGTTGACAGTGTGCGCCATTCAATGGCACTGTCTATTTTATCTAAATTGCCTAGTCTTCTAATATAAAATGTATTCTAAGGTTTAAGATATGTTTATCTTTTATCTTCGGTACTCCACTTCTTAACATAGTACCTCACACAAAATGAGTGCCTAAGTATTTTTAAATCAATTCATAAATGAAGGGTGAGATATCTGTTTTCACAATTGATGACAGCTAAATTGTGAAAAAGTTTCTCCATCAGGGATGTCTCTAAAAAGAATATACGTTCTTGTCCTGATACATCCCTGTAATGGGACTTTTGGAAAAAGCATTAATAAAGCATGGTCCATGCCTTCAAGATGCTAGTAGAGATTCAAACTGCCAACTTTTCGGTTAGTAGCTGAGCACTTAGTTGTTTTTGCCGCCAAGACTTCTTGTTTTCATCATTAGCTGCCCTTCAGTCATTTGTAGATATGGAATGTTATAGTTTTTAAAGAATTTTATGCTACAAACATCAAACCTAGAACATTTTATGAGAAAATTAGGGAGGCTACATTCTGTAAACTTTATGTAATTCACATCAAAAGCAACCACTAAGATAAATACATGAATTTTTTTTGTAAAAATCAGAGAAGCACAAAGCTTTGTATGTGATTATTTGTACTTGTACTTATCCCCTTTGTTCAAATGATTAAGCACTCAACTGCTCACTAAAAGGTTGGTGGTTTGAACCTACCAGTTGCTCCACAGGACAAAGATGTGGCAGTCTACTTCTGTAAAAATTACATCCTTGGAAACCCTATGGGGTAGTTCTACTGTGTCCTATAGAGCACTATGAGTCAGACTTGACTCAACAGCAGTTTGGTTTGGCTCTACTCCTAAACTTCGTAAAGCCAGAGACTGTTCATTCTTTGTGTTGCCCTCATGCACATGACAAGAATTGTGTTGATCTGGATCATAGATAGACATAACCAAAAGTGTCTAGGAATTGTCTCCTTTTTCTCTCTCAATTTCTTTCATAATATATCTTTTCCTTTTCTAATTTACAGAGACCTGCACTAAATGTATTGTTTTCTTTTCTCTACTTAGGCAAGGAAATGAACAATTAAACCTACATTTCTAAGGGAAAGTGTCATTAGTTCAGTATAAGCTTATTGAACACTGCTGCACACACAGTGGGATAAACGCAAGTCTTATCTTGTGTCAGTACCTTCCACATGTGAGAAGTTAAGTAATCTGAGAATCTCTTCATAAAGTTAAGAGCTCTGCTCCTTATCTATTATCTTGTCCTCTTTATTCTCCAGTGAAAGGGGTCTTTCCCTTCTCCTTTCGTGTGGAACCAGACATTGCTCCCATTGCTCAGTTACTTGTCTATGCTATTTTACCTAATGGAGAAGTTGTTGTAGATGTGGAGAAATTCGAGATTGAAAACTGTTTTGCCAACAAGGTGGGTGTTTTGTTTCAGACCAGTCCTTTCATTCTTTTCCCCTTATGAAATGTAGAAAATACGGAAATTATGTACATTAAAAGATTACCATACAATCCTCCTAAAACTTTTCTCTTAAATACCTCTAAAAGCAAGGAGAGATGTGCCATACCCTAAGAGGTCTAGTGGAGTAGTCCAAAGCAGATGGTCATGAGCATAGTTTTTTTATTAAAAAGCCTCTTGTTTCAACTTAAGGAGCTCTGGTGGTGCAGTAATTAAAGCAATTGGCTGCTCACCAAAAGGTCGGTGGTTCAAACCCACCAGCCACTACGTGGGAGAAAGATGAAACAGTCTACTTCTATAAAGATTTACAGCCTCAGAAACCCTAATGGGGAAGTACTACTTCATCCTATCAGGTTGCTATGAGTCAGAATTGATTGCATGGCAGTCAATTTTTGCTTTATCTTAAAATTTGTATGGGTCACAATATTTATTCTATTATAAAACTTTAAGAATTTTAACCTTAAAATGTTTGTTTCCCAAATTTTCAATTGAAAATGATGTTTCATGCAGATGTGTCCATTTTATTCTATCCATCATACCTAGGACAATTGCAGTGCAGAAACCAATACGTTCTTGTAAGATTAAACTCAGTTTGGTAATGTATATAATATAAAGAAGGAGTATACATTTGAACCCCATTTGAGATAACTCCAGTAATCCAATAATGATTACAGGCATACCTTTGAGATAATTGCAGTTTTGGTTACAGACCACTACAATAAAGTCACTATCACAATAAAGCAAGTCACACAAATTTTTTGGTTTCCCATTACATACAAAACTTATGTTTACTATACTGTAATCTACTAAGTGTGTAATAGGATTGTGAAAAACTTTGGAATACTGCAAATTATCTAAATGTGACACAGAGACATAAAGTGAGCATGTGTTGTTGGAAAAATGGCGCTGACAGACTTGCTCCATGAAAGGTTGCCACAAACACCCAATTTGGAAAAAACACAGTGTCTGCAAAGTGCAATTAAGCAAAGTAAAATATAATAAGATATGCTTGTATAACATAAAAATCTAGCATAGCTGAATATTAGATCTTTGTTTTCAAAGAAAATATAACTACAAAGTGAAATTCAATGAGATAGAAATAAACTTCATTCCAACAGAATTTTGTGCTACTTCTCTGATTTTCCCTGGTGAAACAGTGATTAAATCACTCAGCTGCTCACCAAAAGGTTGTGAGTTCAAACCCACCATCCATTCAGTGGGAGACAGATTTGGCAGTCTACTTCCATAAAGATTTACAGCTTGAAAACCCTATGGGGCAATTCTGTCTTAGAGTCCCTACAGTCAGAATTGTCTCGAGGGTGGTGGATTTGGTTTTTGGTTTATCTGATTTTTACTATTTTTAAATATTAAGAGGATAACACTTAAGAATATAATCTTAACCTTAGTAACCAGTGGACTTACATAAATTTTCAACTCCACCTTACTAAGGAGCACTATTAAAGCTGGACCAATATAGCCAATACCATAATTTCTGTTCTACTGGATCGTCTGTGTGTTTCATAACACCTGCCAAGATATTCCTACTTGAAATGGCCATAATATGCTAAAACAAAACAAAACCCACTGCCATTGAGTCAATTCCAATTCACAGTGAGCCTATAGCACAAAGTAGAACTGCCCCATAGGGTTTTTAAAGTTGTAGATCATTAAGGAAGCAGACTGCCTTATCTTTCTCGCACAGGGTTTGAACTGTGGAATTTTTGGTTAGCAGCCCAATGCTTTAAGCACAGCACCACCAGAATATTATGCTACAGCTCCCTTTTCTCTAATGTTACTCTTTCCAGCAATGGTCTCACTCTGCTGGGCCAGTTTTCTCTTCACAATGTGGAAATGAGAGAAGTTTTTTAAGCCGTATTTGCTAGAAGAGCTTTTTTTTTTTCCCTTAGAACCCAACCTGAAAAAAGCTTGATTATATATATATATAATACCACCTGTGTAACACCATAAAACTTCCCCATAGAAGCAAAGGTCCTAGGATGTTATATTCAAACACACTTCATGTCAAATATTTTTTTAACTTGTTTATTATGGATCAGAGATAGAGATAAGCTATAAAAAAATAAGTAATATAGAAGAAAATTCATGCAGTATTTAGAAGAGAGCTGGCTATTTTAGATTTACCACAAAAAGTTAGAAAAAGGTTTAAGTCTATTAAAGTAAGAAATCAAGTACTGTAGAAGTTAGATATCCTACAAGATAATAAATAAACAGACTAAAGAATGGACTGAGAATATGAAGAAAGACCCAGATCAGATTCAGGAATGTGTCCCTTCAAGATGATTCACTTTAAATAATTTTTCAATCTCAATTTTGTTGGGGCACAGAAAAACTGTTTTCTATTCAAAATTTATACCTTCTTTTTAAATTTTCTTTCTTTTTCTTTTCTTTTTTTTTTTTTTTTTGTGCTTTGGGTGCAAATTTACATAGCAAACTCATTTTATTTTCAAGAGTTCATGTACATCTGGTCTCATGGCCCCATTACCATCCCCACCCATAAGAAACTATTCTTCCCTGTCCTCCCTGTGACCACTCCCTTCTGGTGCCCCTCTCATCCATGCATTCCTGTCTCCCCACCCTTCCATTTATGTGAATGCTACCCCTCTGGTGTCCCATGGCTCCTTGATCCAAGGAGTGCATCTCCCTAGAGTAAGTGGGTGCACTGACTGGGGTAGGTGTTCTCTTATTTCTTAATTGGAACATTACTGATTTAGTTCACACACTAAAAATTTTGTAACATTTAATATTATGTGTTATTCTTAACTGGATGTAATTTGTCATTAAGGATAACATTGATTCATATAGATTGATTCAGACTCTTTACAACTATGTCTCAAAGAGTTTTTTGTTCTGTTTTCATAGAAGTAGGACTCTGAATTTTCTAACATGTTCACTTCTTGACTGATAGGATTTTTACCTGACTATAATTGGGAGCTCTGGTAGCATAGTGGCTAAGACACTTGCCTGCTAACCAGATGGCTGGCGGTTCAAACCCACCAGCCACTCCTCGGAAGGAAGGTTGGGCAATCCTACTTCCGTAGTGATACTGCCTCGGAAACCCAAGGAGGGGTCGCTATGAGTCGGGGCCGACTCTACGGCACATAACAACAAGAACAACAACAACATAATTCAAAATAACTCAGTTGTTTATAAACATATTTTATTGAACTTAAATATTCTAAAAGTAAAAACTGTTTAAAATAGAATTCTCTATAAGCAGTGTTTTCATAATATATTGAATTAGAATGATGACTACTAGTTCATTTTGAAGATAAATTGATTTAATTTTCATATATATCTCAAGATACATGATTCCAGACTACTACATTGGCAAATATGATTTAGCTGAATATGCTGATATTTCATTTCAATGCAAATCAGCTTTTAGTTCAAGAATCTAGAAAGTTACTTGCTGCTTTATAGAAATTAAATTGTTTTATGTTTCAAACTTTAATATATTTGACAATAATCTACTCAAAACAAAATGTTTTCATAAATAGAAGGAACCAATGGATTGACTAACTAATGAATTTCTACTGGACAAAGCAGAATCAAATATCTGAAAAGATTCTGCAAAAATGTTTTCTTTCCAATAATTTCCAGATCGTATTTTTTATTCACAGTTCTTTGTCAGTTTTCTGAACCAACCAACACTTGAGATGCATATTAATTAGCTTAATTTAAAAAATAACCCAATAGATCCCTCATAGTGAAAAACAGTACTATAGTGCTTTAGAATTTCAGATGTTTAGAATGACAACACTATCAACTGAAGGAGATTTCAGTTGACTGGTTTGAAGGATAGAATGTGATTTTTCATAGCATCATGCAAACTACACATTTTCATCACAAAAATACTACACAAGATGGTCAGCTACACCAAGTTACATGAATTTTTTAGTATATATGTTTTCATTTCCACTCAAGGATACCATCTATTTCAATGTGATTAAACAAACAAACTATATTTTATTGGTTATGTAAGGAATTACAAGTGGGAAACCTGAGTTAACTATAACCACATTTCCAGTTTATTCCAGAGATGCTTAACTAACCTTACTTTTAGAAAGATGAAGAGAAAGGAAGTGAAGAAAGGGCTAGTCCTATCCTGGGGTAGAAGAACTTTGAGACTATAATAATTTAAAAAGCTACAGCTATAATCATATCCTCTTTGCAGGTAAATTTGAACTTCTCCTCAGCCCAGAGCATGCCAGCTTCAGACATTAAACTGAAGATGACAGCCACACCCCTCTCCCTGTGTGCCCTCCGTGCAGTGGACCAGAGCGTGCTGCTAATGAAACCTGAAGCTGAGCTCTCACCTCAATCAGTGAGTCCCATTTCAGTCTTGGAGATCAGAAAATTCACACACGACAAGACCATTCTTGAAAGTTGTAAGTTATAACTGCAAAGGATAAGCTCTTCAAAATATCAGACATAATGCAGTAAGCTATTTAAGAGTCAGAATCCCATTCAGCTAGACAACAGAAACAGCACAAGGTTCTTTCCATGTATCATCTCATTTCATTCTCTATTATAATATATGTTCAATGAGGGAGCATTCTCATTTACCACAATATTTCCCATGCCTACTAAAGTATCTTATTTATAACAGGTATTCAATACATTTTAGTGAATGAATACGTGGATAATAATTCTTTGACAAACAAAAAAAAAAATTCCATGAATTGACAGAATACCCATTGAGATGTTCACACAAACAGATGACACACTGGAGGCACTTAGTTGTCTGTGCCAAGAAATTTGGAAGACAGCTACCTAGCCAACTGACTGGAAGAGATTCATATTTGTATCCATTCCAAAGAAAGGTGATTCCACAAAACGTGGAAATTAACAAACAATATCATTAATATCACACACAAGTAAAATCTTGCTAAAAGTAATTAAAAAATGATTGCAGCAGTATATTGACAGGGAACTTCTAGAAATGCAAGCTGGATTTAGAAGATGATGTGGAATGAAGGATATCATTGCTGATGTCGGATGGATCTTGGCTAAAAGCAAAGAATACAAGAAAGATGTTTACTTGTGTTTTTTTGACTATGCAAAAGCATTCAACTGTGTGGATCTGTGGTAGTTAAATCTGTATGTCAACTTGGCTGGGTCTGGTTGAGTGGCTGGACAGCTGGAGGTAGTTATTCCCCATGATGAGACTGGCAATCAACTCCATGGTGGGATCTACCACAAGCAGCTGAGTAGCTGCCTTTGGGATATGGTCTACTTTCTGAATATAAGCAAAAGCCTTGGGGATAGTCTCTAGCTTAAGGCATGCTTGAACTCTGCATGTAGCCATGTCATTGTTCATGCCATGCTCTGCTGACCTTGGGACTTACAGTGGACTTGAATTAACGGCCTGCCATGTGATTTGGTAACATTGGGACCAGTGCCATTGTATTTGTTGACCTTGGGCTTGTTAGCCTCAGCAGCCAGTAGCTGCCTGAGTGAAGAGATGCCTCCAGTTTCAGTGGGCCAGGAGCAAGAGGCAGAGCTGAAGCCTGAGGTAGAAGGGCTTTCACACAGACCCTAGAGCCTGGCACTTTGAACTTGGACTTAAAGCCACTAAATTGTAAGAATAAACTCCTGTTTGTTCAAGCCATTCAATTTATGGTCTATTCCTGCCAGAGCGGCACTAGGTAACCAGAACAGGATCATAACAAAATATGGATAAGATTGAGAAGAATGGGAATTCCAGAACACTTAATTATCCTCATGAGGAACCTGTACATAGGCCAGGAGGCTGTCATTTGAACAGAACTAGGGGATACTGCGTGGTTTAAAATCAGGAAGGGAGACTGTCAGGGAGACTGTCAGGGTTGTATTATTTCACCATACTTATTCAGTCTGTATGCTGAGCAAATAATCTGAGAAGCTGGACAATATGAAGAAGAACATGGCATCAGGATTGGAGGAAGACTCATTAACAACCTGCTGTCACAGATGACACAACCTCCTTGCTGAAAGTGAAGATAACTTTTTTTCTTATTATTCTTTTTTTTAATTGTGATTTGGGTGAAGATTTACAGAGCAAATTCACTTTACACATAGCAGTTCACATACACTTTGTCCCATGACATTGACCACAGTTTACCACAATGCAACAGCTCCCCTCCCACCCCCTCTCCACAGTTACCTCTTCCCAGTATCCATCCCTCCATATACTCCTGCCCCCTAAGCTGTCTCCCTGTACATAAGCAGCCCTTCTTTCTCCCATGATTGTTCTCTCCAAGGAGTGTATCTACCTGAGGAAAATGTTCAACTCATATGCCTGTCTTTTGTTTCACTGGAAACCAGGTGTGGGTTCAATTCCAGACCCCAAGGGTAGCCAGGGACCATATTCTCAGTGGTTCCACCAGGTTCTATCGGACCAGCAAACCTGGTCCCCACTTTTTTTGCTCCAAATGATTTTGAGTTTTCTTCCACATTGTTCTCCCTCTCTATCAGGGATCTCCTACATAGATCCCCTTCCAAGTGGATGACAGTGGTAGCCGGGCACCATCTAGTTCTTCTGGTCTCATAGTCATATAGGCTGCAGATCAGATGGTGTACCAGTTGCTAGGACTAACTGTTTGCATGAATTTTGGTTTTCTTCATCCTTCTTTGCTCTGGATGAGGAGAGACCCATCATTGCATCTAGATGGCAGCTTGCTAGCTTTTAAGATCCCAGTCGCTACTCGCTAAAGTAGGAGGTGGAACAATGTTTTGTATAGTATATTATGTCAACTGAGCTTGATGTACCCTGCAACTATGGTCCCAAACCCGCAGGTTGAACTACTCGGTCCCTCTGGGTAGCTGGCTGTGACTAAGCAGTGACCATAACTTTGCCCCTTGTCAGCTCTACTATACACCTGGGAATTCTGATCATTCACATAAACTTATAGGACCATTGTCTGCCAACCCTATACATGTTCTTGGATACACTCCCCATTTCATAGACATACCTAACCGTTCAGCCTGTCCACCCATCTATCCACCCATAAACCCATGTTTGCCTTCAGTGACAACGCAGTACTATATGTGCAAAAGGGTTCATATTTGTTATCTGTACCTCCCATGTACCTCTCTATGTCTTTCTCATCCTCAATGCTGCCATATTGGTCACACACATTTGGTATTTTACCCTTCTCTTGAAAGTGAAGATAACTTGAAGCACTTTCTGATGAAGAGTAAAGATTACAGTCTGCAGTATGGATTACACTTCAACATAAAGAAAACAAAAATCCTCACAACTGGATCAATAAGCAGCATCACAATAAATGAAGAAAAGATCGAAGTTGTCAAAGATGTCATATTACTTGGTTCCACAATCAACACCAATGGAAGCAGCAGTCAGGATATCAAACAAAGTATTGCACTGGGAAAATATGATGCAAAAAACCGCTTTAAAGTGCTGAAAAGGAAAGATGTCTCTTTGAAGACTAAGGTGCACCTAACCCAAGCCATGGTATTTTCTATGATCTCATATGCATGTGAGAGCTGGACAATGAATAAGGAAGACTGAAGAAGAGTCAATGCTTTTTACTTATGATGTTGGCAGAGAATACTGAAAGTACCATGGACTGCCAGAAGAACTAACAAATCCATCTTGGAAGAAGTACAGCCAGAATGCTCCTTAGAAGTGAGAATGGCCAGACTTCGTCTCACCTATTTTGGTCATGTTGTCAGAAGGTATCATTCCCTGGAGAAGGATATCATGCTTAGTAAAGTGGAGGGTCAGTGAAAAAGGGGAAGGCCCTCAACAAGATGGATTGACACAGTGGCTGCAACAATGGCTCAGGTATAGCAAGGACTGTGAGGATGGAGAAGGACAGAGCAGTGTTTTGTTCTGTTGTACATAGGGTCACTATGAGTCAGAGTCCACTAGACAGCACCTAAAAACAACAATTCTTTGAAGTGGGCATTATTACCTGTTAGTCTGGGTTCTCCAGAGAAGCAAAACCAGTAAAGCTTACATACATAGAGAGAGAGATAAATTTATCTTAGAAAAATGGCTCACACAGTTATAGAACCTGACAAGCCCCAAGTTCTTGGATCAAACGTCAAACTGGAACCTTTTCCCAACTCACACAGCTGCAGAGGCTGACGAGCTCAGGGTTGGCAGGCAGTATACCGGCTGTTGACTTCAGCAGATGATGAAACCAAGATCACCAAGCAGAATGGTGGATTGTTTGCTCACGGACAGTTGTAAGCAGCACAACAGGATCCAGATCCACAGAAGGTGTTCTCTTTTTTTCCAGGATCTCCATACAAATATTGGAAGCAGGCCACACCCCTAGGAAAATTCCCTTTCAATGGATTGGCTGCTCAAAGCATATACCTCTGATCTCATCATGGAAATAATCACATCACAACTACTTAAACCACGCAGAATTGTGGTCCAGCCAAGTTCACACACAACTCCAAATATCACATTACCCTAATTTTATGAGTGAAGAAAGTACAGCTAGGATAGATATTAAAACTATAGAAAGAGCACACCAAAAACATATTTAGAGGTAGAATTTGAACCAAATATCTTTCAGAACCACTTCCTAACTCACCACATTTCAAGGTATTACATGAAATGCTATATTTTTTAGCATTTCCTGACATCCAGTTACTACTCACTGGTTTTAAGTATGGACAAAAAAAGATTTCCAAGAGTCAATCATAGAAGGACAAATATTGTATTAGTCCATCATTGTAAAAAGTTAAGGAAAGGTTTATATATGAAAGGAAATTTTCTTTGTTGCTTACCAGGGGTAGGAAGGGAGGGAATACTGTTAGACAAGTAGAGATAAGTATCAATTTGGGTGAAGAGAAGGATGAAAAGAAGAGAGTGACCAACACAGTGGCACTGAGAAAAAGGAAGATATAGAGAGGCGCATGGGAGGTACAGACAACAAAGATTAACCCTTTTTCACATACAGTACTGCGTTGTCAGTGAAGGCAAACATGGATATATGGGTGGATAGATGGGTGGACAGGCTGAACTATTAGGTATGTCTATGCAAGGGGGAGTGTGTCCAAGACAATGTACAGGGTTGGCAGACAATGTTTCTACAAGAGTATTGGTATGTTCTGTAAGAATTCCCAGATATATAGTAGAGCTGACAAGGGACAAGGTTGTAGTCACTTCTTGGCCACAGCCAGCTACCCAGAGGGAGCAAGTAGTTGGACCTGTGGGTTCAGCACCACAGTTGCAGGTGACACCAAGCTCAATTGGCATGACATACTACACAAAACATTGTTCCACATCCTACTTTGGCAAGTAGCAACTGGGATATTAAAAGCTTACAAGCAGCCATCTAGATGTGATGATGAGTCTCTCCT